GGTCATCTACTCACTCTTCCCAGAATCCACTGATTTCCTATCACTTCATGCCCCATCACTCTTTCTTGCCCAATTTCAGAGGGAAAGGAGACTGTGTCTTCACTATGCCTGGAAATATGGTTTGATCGAGGGTGAGGTGGCTCTCTGAAACAGAAACAATGCCCAGGGAAATACAGTTTTTTTTTTTCTTGAACCATTACTTAAGATAATTGTCTCCTTTTTTTCTAAAAAGCAAGCGCTGTTAGTCGTAGTGCAGTATCTCCTCACAACACATCTGAACGTGGAGATCAGAACAAGCCAACTGTGTTAACGAATGAATGCTGGTCAAGCAATACTATAAAAGTGATTCTGTATGAGACCTTGTAGAAAACAGATTTTATTTCAGCACTTTCTGCTAACTTTTGTTTTGTTTTGTATTGTTTTGTTTTGTTTTGCTCTTATTTATCTGGAAATTTAGCTTCCATTTAATTTAGACTTTTTTTCCCAAAGGAATCTTACTTGAAAAGCAAGGTCCCTATCTTTGTCCTTCTGGCCAGGAATCTCAACAAACTTCTTAGCAGATTCAATGCTGTGAAACGCAGCAAATGTCGACCCCTTAAATGCTTTGTGCAATGTTCTTCTCATCTGAATATTCAGTACCTGACCTTTATCTTCTAACCATTCTTTTATGTCAACAAAGGTTGCATCAGTTGGGAAACTTTTAAATTAGATGTTTTTTACATTATTTTTATACTCATCAGTCACTTTGGAGAGGGGTTTGCTTGGAAATCTGATTCTAGTTTTAGCTTCACTTATTTCTATGAGTTCTGCCTTTGATCTGCTCAATGCTTCTACTATTACATCAAAGGTTTAACCTGCTAAATTTCATCATTATCTCCAAAGTTACCCAGCCTTCATCCTATTTGATCTGTTTCTTTAAAAATTTTTTCTGGGGCAAATTGAAGTCACCAAAATAACACTCAATTTGATGATAAATTTTGGCCTCCAGGGCAGCTGTTTTTTATTATCACCATTTTCACCCTTTCTGGCTATCTTTAAGGTCCTGATCCCACCAAGCTACATCACACGATCACTACTAGTGATAACAACATCTCAGTCTCCCTTCGCCACTTGCTGGCCTAACACACTTAAAGGAGAGTCATCTTTTGTTCCTTTTTAAATTGGGTTGTTATTTTATTATTGAGTTCCAATAGTTCTTTATGTATTCTAGATAAAGTCTCTATCAGACATATGATTTGCCAAAATTTTCTACCATTCTGTGGATTATCTCTGTATGGTGTCCATTGAAGCATAAAAGTTTTTAATTTTGTTAATGTTCAGTTGTTCACTGTATTCTTAATTTTTTTAAATAAAGGTAGACTCCATGCAAACTCTGGGGAGTGTGCTGTGTGTTTGTGCAAGTCATCAGATGTGTTACTTGAAATAAGCTTTTTTTTCTCCCCAGCATGGTAATGCTTACCATGTCACTGTTCTTAACAAATACTGTACGTCGCTAAATTTTTATTTTACTACTTCAAATTGGTTAACTATGTTTTACTTTATCTAAGAACCATAATTCATTTTAATTTGTAGTAGAAGTTATATATAATTGCCTTCCAAATCTTACCAGGTTGAAACATAACAAGAAATCCTAAAAGAGTCTATGGCCACGCCGCCCTGAACAAGCCCGATCCCATCTGATCTCGGAAGCTAAGCAGGATTGGGCCTGGTTAGTACTTGGATGAGAGACTACCTAGGAAGACCAGGTGCTGTAGGCATAAAAAATAAAAAAAAAAAATAAGGGATAGTAAGCTGACAAAGTCCTTGCAATTTTTGAAGTCAACCAAGGGTTGCTACCCTCAAAAAATAAAAAACAAATAATAAAAAAAGAAATCCTAAAAGATTGTTATTCTGTCATTTGCATACTTCCGTTTTTACATAAGATAGAGATTTCAGATGTGCCTAAGTCTTATGTAACCAACCTGATTCTCAGACTCAGGAAATATCATTTAATGGCATCTGGGTTTTTGATATTTATCTGACATGAACTATTTGAATAGGAGTTATTTAATGGTAATATCTGAATTATTATTTCTTATAATTATTTTCTACTAGTTTATCCATATTTTCTAATAGCATTAATTGGCTATTTTTTGAAAGCTTGATAAGTACCACACTGGAAATGAATATCTATATATTCCCAAGAACCACTGATTAATTGAGGCTAAATTAGAACGTATGAACATAAAATATCATCATGAAGTTGCTTGATCATGGCTTGTCTTAAGAGTCTCATGCTCTACCAACTGAGCTAGCCGGGCATCAGCTGATCATGGCTTGTCTTAAATACTTGGTTATCTCTAAAACCAATGGTTGAAGTGGATCTTAATTGTTGTCACTGTCATAATCCTAGTCTTTACTAATTAAGTATTACTAAGGAGCAAATCCTCTATTTGGACCTCTGTGCTGAAAAATTGTCCAATACACAATTTATCATGTCTTAGATATGAGGTCATGGGAAACATAAGCCCACTAAAACTCACTTCAGAAAAGGAGGACCTATTATAAGAAATGATAACAATCACATGAAGCCGTAGGGACTAGAACCAATAGAATCAAAAGGAACTGGAAATCAATCTCTCTCTCTCTCTCTCTCTCTCTCTCTCTCTCTCTCTCTCTCTCTCTCTCTCTCTCTCTCTCTCACTCTGTCTCTTTCTCCCTCCCCTCCTCCTTCCCTGCCTCCCTCCCTTCATTTTTTCTAATTCAGTAGTGTACCAGGACCCAACTTGGATATCTATAAAAGTAGGTTCAGCCTCTATATACACATCTGTTACCCACCCTGGTCAAATTACTTGTAGCCAAGATAGCAGGGTTATCTGGTCCTCCACTCTCTTGCCAGAGCCCATAGAATTAAGTTCCCTGAGAAGATCTATGAGCAAATTTTCCAAGAAGGGATGAGTGTGAATAGGAAATAATTAATATCTCCTGCACCTTTTATGAGCATTGTCCAAGACCCCCAGAGAGATGGGTGGCCCTAATTGCTGCTATGTAGTGGAAAACTGACTGGAACATTCTGGCAATTGAAAAATGTCCTATGAATAAGATTTTGGAGAATGCTCTAAAAATAGATCCAAGAATAATAAGGTACCAATAATACTGCCTATACCAAAAGTGTGCATAATAAAAATATAGGATTTCAATTTAATTTTGTATATAAAAATAAAGTGGACAAATAAACATGCATCTAACAATTACTGACCATATCCACTTCTCCTATAAGTATGGAGGGATATAAGAAGGATAGTAGGGGAAAAGTCAAAGCAAAAATTAGATCCACCCAAAGTAGAATTCAAGGCTTCATTTTCTGTTCAGTTCATTATAACCCTCTCTCCCAACACAGGAAATACTTCACTGGTTGTTCTGATACTAACTAAACCAAATGGATTCTTGTATCTAATTTATCTGCGGATTCATGTAGAATAGAGGACCCATGTAGATTAAAGACAATGGGTAAGACCCATCTTTACATCCTAGTGACAAAATGCATCCTCCCTAAAAATGCCCGTTATGATCCACAGTGATGGAAGACTGAAAAAGACAGGAACCTATGAAGTGTTGCAATAAAGAAAGGGCTTCCTATATGAGCCTTTTAAAAAACACTCTGAGAATTAAATTGAAATAGTTATCCACTAGTTTCTAAGGTGCTGAAATCATCAACAAAAATATCAAAAATTCTATAACCTTGTTTCCCATACACTTCTCCAAAATTCTCAGAAGGCACACTTAAAACATTAACTTACCCAGCTAAATATTTGTCTCCCTGTCCTCCCTGTGAAACAAGATGGTGAGCTGCTCATGGAGGAATAGGCCCATTTATTTTTTTATCCCAGATGAGTAAAAATATCAGCTTCACTAAAATTATTTATGACCTGTACTTGAACCAATCAATATCAATGGATGTCACCACAAAATGGTATGTTCTATTCATCTGGAGAGCGTTTCCAACCACCATGACCTACTGAAACTGTATTTACCTCATAAGAAGCTTCTTAAATATGGCCTCCTTATTTATAATGTTTTAAATTTCATACTATTTTTTTAAAATTTCAACTTTACAAAATTAAGATATTTAAAGTGTATATTGTGGTGATTTGATATACATGACTCCTCCATCTAGTTAATTAACAGTCATCACCTCATATATTTATCTTTCTCTCTCTTTTTTATTAGTGGGGTGGGGGTGAGGGGTGGTGAGATCATTTAAGTACTACTCTCCTAGCAAATTTCAATTATAAAATAGAGTGTTTTAACTATAGTCATTATATTTTACCCTAGATCCTCTGACCTTATTCATCTTACAGCAGAAAGTTTATAAATTTTACACTATTGAAACAAACAGAGTATATAATGATTTCAAAGATCCTAAGAGTAATATTCACCTTAAAAAAAGTGTCAACTGGTTGTTCAAAATGCTACTAAAAAAGGAAATGAAGCATGCATATTAAATGAGCTTCAAATGAAGTATTGGAATTATCACCAGCTGACATTATTGTCCATTAGACCTGCCCCAATAAACGGTATAAAAAGGTTCAAATATCTTGCCTTTCTCTAATGAAATCTTGCTTGTCAGAATAACCTTCTGTACTTGTCCCTACACACACAAAGTTGGGACATTCAGATCTGCTTAGATATAAGAAACTTCATTAAAAGTAGGAGTAATACCTGAAATGCTATAAAAAGGGAGGGGCTAACTTCTACCTCCACCAACATGTTCACTTCATCCCTATATCACCCATCTTACTAGTATAATGCCCAGAACATGACTAACTATTCATTTATGTTTGAAGTGTTCAAAAAAGTGAGTGAATACATTAATAAATAAATTCAGAGAAGCATAGGACTTTATTACGTAGAGAATTAAGGTCACAGAAAGAAGTAGATAAATCTCTTGCCCCAGCCTGTTGTATTAGGTGGCACTTTTGATTTAGGAAGAGTAGAGACCAGTGGAGCAAGCACTTGATTTACGGTTGGATTGTGAAAACTGTGATGGTGGGTAAAATGACATAGTCCAGCTTCTGATCGGACAGCAATGGAAACTGAAGTACATCTTTGGCTTCCTCCTGTTTTTTGTTTCTGCCTTCATTAACACAACATAATTTCCCATTTAGACATGATATTTCAGATATTTCCCCCATTTCACATTTCTTCCTGCAGTAGCCTGCTATATTGTTAAAGCATTTTTTGGGTCGCACGGCATCTGTGCACAAGAAACAACATTGAACCCAGATTAGTTCCTGAAGCAGACTGGAAAAGGTGAGTGATTCTCCACATGCTTATGGCCTCCTGTGGTCCCAGAGTAAACTTTATGCTAATATGGGAAAGCTCAGAGCCTCCCCCTTGAAAAATATACTAAATTAAGGACATTCAAAACTCCAGCTCCTAGCCAATGCACAACTGGATCTGAGAACATTAGAACTTATATGACAAAAGTGAAGAAAGAGCACAATTTATGGTTCTTGAATGAAGCTATATTCAACCCCTAGGATCCTGGCAAATCTGACTCTATCTTCTATGCTCCGAAGTCAGCACTCCCTCAGTCCTACTCAGTCCAGTGTCCTCAGAGAGTACCAACTTGTCACCATGGCACTATTAAAAACCAAATTAACTTTTAAGAGTATAACAGTCAGTGGGTTTCACACTGACACGGGAAGCAGCAATCTCCCTCTACCAAGACTTCATGGGTCTCAGCAGTAAATGCTGTTGAGAACTTCTTCCCTTATTCAACCTTTATAACTTCTCCATAACCTGCTCCCCACCTCACTTGCTCACTTGCACTCTCTCCCCCACCCCTCACTCCTCTCTCCATCCTCTTTTTGGTCTCAGAATAATGTGTTGCCCAGGGATCAAACTCAATTCCATGTATACCTTTTTTTCCTAGAGATCCAAATTGTCATCTATATGGAGTATTGCATTGAGGTCCTAAATCTTCTGTTTTCAGTTCTTTATTTGCCCCTGTATACAAGCTCATGGAATAAAGATGGAGAACGAACACAAAGTACTCCCTATCTTAAATTCCAGAACCAGGGAGCATCTTTGAAGGTTAGAAAGGTATTTTTAGAGCTCCAAAAAGACCATATGCCTTCCTACAGTGGCAAGGGAGAAGGGAACTCTCACTGACAGAGCTCCTACCATGAACTTGGTGCTTCACATTTGTAAACTCATGTAATCCTCACATGAAATACAATTATTATAAAATTTAGCCATTATACTCACTTAACAGATGAGGAAACTGAGATTCAAAGGGAGTATTAGCTCATTCAGACAACTAGTCTCTGATGAAGACATATTTTGACTTCACATCTATGTGACTCCAAAGCTTGTCCTGTTCTCCTTACTGCTGTAGTATAGACCAAACATGAATGAATGGAAAAAGAGATGGCCAGGTTCCTGGGTGAAAATTTTGTTGTACATTATAAAGATAATTTTAGATAATGGGCTCATATTTACCTTTGGACAGGACTTCCGAGCGTATGGCCCTGATCTATTTTTACATCCCTAGATGCTCTCTTCTAAGACACAGACTTAAGTCAGGCACCCAGGATACTTTCTATGATATTGGCAAGATACCAACAATCTTGAATACTCTGACCCCATCCCTATGGACAGTAACATCTCCTAGGATTTCATGGTACATTTGGACAAGTTACCTGTTGGTACCTCAAACAGCAGAATAATGAGAACCAGAAACAGCTTCATGTTTACAGACTTCTCAAGAAAATAGGCAGCAGGATTTCTTTGTCCCGTAATCTGTGTCACACAGAATCCTTCAAGATGAGCCAGAGTTTTGATGCTATCAGCATTCCGAGCTCTCACTTTAATCCACATGAATAAACAGAAAATCCAAGTCTACCTCCACCTACATTCCCAAATATGGAGTTCATAATCACAGAATGTTCCATCATATCACACCCACTCCTCCTTCCTCAGGATATGAGCTTCCAGAGAAACAATAATTTCTCCACCCGGGCCATCAGCCCATGAGGGTCAAGTTTGTTGGTCATATGTCTGGTCTGTGTGGGACATTCTAGTTCATTCTTATTTTTCCAATGTCCCATCAGCTAGTGCCACCTTTCACTCAAAAAAGTAACCTGGTTTAGAAGATTAATTAAATTGTTAACTAATCTAGGTAGACATATAAACCATCCAATAATATTTTTTAATGTATAAAACTTCCAGAAAATCATCTAGGAGTAAGATTACTTTTAGGTTCGGCTAGATAAATTAATATTATTTCAGAGTTTCTCATTCAGTACAACTCAATTCTACAGCTGAAGTCTTTCAGAAAATCACATCTCTTTAAAACAGTATTCGACTCATGAACTGGTCCCTGCCCTCCTCTCCCACGGCATTTTCTGGAGCCACTAAATGTTTCTGCCAAATTAGTGTGGGTGCCCCTACCAACCTGCTACTTCCATAACCTGCTTCTTTGGACATTTAAATCTCTCTTAACAAATTATATTTTGCTCGCCTATCCCATCCATCTAATTGGCCCTGTTGAGCTCCTAATTTTCCTTTAAAACCAAGTTCAATTTTCTCCACATCTGTGAAAGATTCCCTGACTCAACTAAATAGAGCTGCAAAGTCCCTTTTTTGTGCTACCACTGTTCCTTGTACATATTTTTCTTGGTGGTCACATCATGTTATGTTCCAATTATTTGTTTATTTGAATAATCTGTGAGCAGGCCACTGGTTTTGTTCAATATAGAGTTCTTAACACACAAAACTCATGCTATATTCTTAGTACATAATTGTCAGATGAATTATTGCCAAGTACTGAACAAATTATTGCTAAATAAAATGCCTCAAGTCTATGGCCATGAACGTGTCCAATCTCGTCTGATCTCGGAAGCTAAGCAGAGTCAGGCCTGGTTAGTACTTGGATGGGAGACTACCTAAAATACCAGGTGCTGTAGGCATTTAAAAATAATAATAAAATAAAAAATAAAATAAAATACCTCAAGACAGTAATAAAGTTAATTTAAGCATATCCTGAAGAATACAATTTACTTCATTTCATAATTTCTGGACACTAGAACCTTGAATTTATAGTAACTAGGGCCCATCCAAATTTCTGTGATACTACCTGGAAGAAAATGGAATTTGTGAAGGCTGTATAAATATATGTTAATGGTTAAACTCACATCACAACATAGGGTTAGTGTTAGGAATAAGTGTTGTGTATGACTTATTGTGTTTCTCAGTAACCAGAGTGAATTAAGTTTATCAAGGAGAAGAGAGTGTATCAAATGCTGCTGATATGTCAAGAGAGGGATGAGAATTGACTGATGGCCCCACTAGATTTGCACTAGGCCACTGGTCTCAGCTCTGTGAACTGTTAATATGTGCCTATTAGATGACAAATTCATTCTATATATTTATATTATTTAAGTCCTCTATATTACCTAAACGCACTATGAAATAGAAATTAATACCACTCTTTTTCAAATTGGAAAACCACAATTTAGGAAACTGGTAATATGCCCAATGTCACACAACTAGTAAAGAATGAGCTAGGATCAACACAGGCCAGCATGAACCTATAAGTAAAGGTCTTGCTATCAAAATGGCAGAGTAGGTAAACGCTGTCCTCTCGCGTCCTCCCACAATCACATCAGAATTACAACTAAACTACAGAGCAACCATCATTGAGAATTGCCTGAAGTCTAGTTGCACAGAAGTTCTATAACTAGGGATGTACAGAAGAAGCCACGTCGAGACTGGTAGAAGAGACAGACATGAGGAACAGGCTAGTTGCATATCCACGTGTAGCAGTTAAAAATCGGGAGGGATATCTAGTTAAAAATCAGAAGTCCCTGCTAAAGAGTGAATGATCCCAGCTCCCCATCAGGCTCCCCAGCCCAGGGTTCCAATTCTGCGAAGAGAAGTGCCCATAGCTGTGAAAAACAGTGGAGATGGTGGCTAAGTGAGAGGTGGAGTACTGGGGCTGGAGTCCTAGGCATTCCACTTAAAAAACTGACATACAGACTTAGTCACTGACAGATTCACTTGCTGTAAGCTCCAATGCTGGAGCAGCAGCTCAAAAGGTGCCAGGGTCATATGAGGAGAAACTGAATTATCTGGCTTCAGGGCAAGAGCTAGAGAAGCAGCTTTCTCCCAGACAGAAGTGCTGGAAGATGCCATTCCTCCTTTTTTGAGCCCTCTCCTCACCCAGCCTGCACACACAGGTGGGTGTCATATCTAATTCTTCATCAACCTAGCTAACAATGTTCTCCCTATCCTGATGATTTCCTAAGACCCCAACCCAACCAGCTTGTGGGCCCACCCAAGCCACTTCCAGTGGCTTTTTCATACAAACAGCCTGTCTGAGCTCATACTGTAGACTTTCCTAAAATCTCTCAAAGTTTCACAAACCCCAAATAAGCAGCATCTGGCCTCAGCATACCCCGTACCTTTTGCTAAGCAGCCCCAAGCCCAGCACAAGTGGCAACCATCTACAAATCACTGTGTAGCTCTTACTAAGTGGCCCTGGAGAGGGCACAGGCAGTGACTGACCTCAGCCTGCACCAGAGCTCCTCCCAAGAGGCCTCAGAACTAGTATATCCAGTGGCCAGCTCCAGACCACACCAGACTACCACCCAACCACGTCCACAAATGACACCCAAAGGACAGACTTGGCAGGCACCAGAGCCCTACTAATGTGAACCGTGATCCATAGGGTCAGCTCCTGTCCAATAGTTACTCCACTGTAGTCACAGCCAGTCACAATGAATCAGCCTTAAGGGTCAATCTCTTCCATTAACATGCCAATAGCAATCAAGACTCAACTACAACAGGAGGGCACACACAATCTACACAAAGGACATACCGGGAGCACCCAGCTCAGGTGCCCAGGGAGACTGAGCCACTGGGCCCCACATGACACTTACTACATAAGGTCACTCTACCAAGAACAGGAGACATAGCAGATCTACCTAATTCATATAAACAAACACAGGGAGGCAGCCAAAATAAGGAGACAAAGAAACATGTCCCAAATTGAAGAACAGAGGTAAACCCCAGAAAAAGAACTAAATAAAATGGAGACATGCAATCTACCAGACGTAGAGTTCAAAACACTAGTTTTAAGGATGCTCAGTGATCTCAGTGAGAACTTCAACAAAGCGATAGGAAACATAAAAGTGGAGATTGAGCCAAGTCATCACAATAAGCATGTACTGTCAGAAGGGATATGCATACTTTGCCAACAAGCTGCCAAATCTGAACTAATACTTTGTTCACACAGGACAATTGGTATCTTCTAGTCCAGAAAGTAAACCTGGTGATAACTCAGATGCAGGGTTTTTTTCTCTGAGAATTTTCCAAGGTTTTAAAATCAAAACCAGAGATATATTTTATCTTTTGATAGGACATCCCAGAGAGATCAGAGATATTTCTAGGCCAACTTACACCCAGCTACTGAATGAAAAAAACATGTGTTCACAGAAGGACTCCACATATACCTTCATATGTTCAGAAAAATGAAGGAATTTTTCCTACCAAAATAATTTTGGTGTCAAAATGTTATTTTGAAAACCCATCTATGTATTAATAGAAAATTATGTATGTAGGTAAAAGCTCAACATAATATCTACCTCATCTAGAGTTACTGATGCTTACTTGAGGTATAAAACAATAATTGTAAAATAATTGTAAGATAATTATAAAATTTTGGAGCAATAAAATTGATATACCTCAAAAAGTACGGATGACCTTTCGGGTTAGCCAAAATTGTGTTCTTAATCCATCCTCTTCCCGTCAAACCAAGAGGCAACAGAAGATATTAGAAATATTTTTCGCAGTTGAAATACTTCATTCAACATTCCTGCAATCCTTGCAAAACCCATTGTGATCATGCGTCTTTCCTCTTTCTTCCATCTAAATCACTTAAATAGCTAGCCCCAGTTTTCAGTGCTTTTCATTCAAGTGTCAAATTCAGGTATTCTGGATTTCAAGTACCACCTAGTGGTCAAAGCAAATTCTCTTTCTAGCTGTCCAGACATTCCAAAACGTCAAAGAGCTCCCTGGAAGTGATGAACATCACGTTCCTGTAGTTGTGCTGCCAGGTGTCCATGGACATCAAGAGACTTTAAAAATATTAACAAAAGAGTTCTCTAATGTTGGAGAAAACTTTAAAAAATTCAAAAGATCTAGAGACTATTCTATATATTTTTTACCCTTGCAGGCAACTGTCAACAAATTTGTATACACAATTATATCTTCTGAAATTAAAAATCACTTCAATGGAGAGGTAAGTTGTCTCAAACACACCCCTAGCATACCCACATCAAGCAAAAGCTATGTTACAAGAAAGGTCTAAATTGACTGGTCCTGGAGGGAATCTTAATTTGAACAAACCAGTGGTGTAAAAAAGAAAATTGGGGGAACAATTGGATATATTTGTAAATGGAATGAGCTGTAAATGCTATCAAATAAATGTTATTAATTTTGCTGAATGTGATTATATTATGTGATTATATTATGTTGGCTATGTTGGCAAATACTCTTATTTTTCAAAAATGTTTACTGAGATATGTAGGAATGAATATCATGGTGTTTGTAATTTAACTTAAAATATTTCAGCAAAAAATAACACGAGTTCTAAAAAGAAGGGGGAAAAATAGTCCAAAGAGCCAAACCCTTTTTGAAATATTGGCCTACCACTTAAGAATGTTGTTCTTTTAATAAACTCTTATCTA